TGATGATGATGATGATGATGATGATGATGATGATGATGATGATGATGATGGTGATGATGATGATGGTGATGATGGTGATGCCGTTGATGGTGATGATGATGATGATGATGACGACGACGATGATGATGACGATGATGATGATGATGATGATGATGATTCTTACCACAAAGGGTCTCTGTGCTCATACTGTGAATTCTGTAAGGTGAGTGTGAAACCTGATTTGAGAAGTTGGGAGAAACAGGGGCCACGACAGAGTTGAGCGAGGAGAGTCTCTCGGATGTTTTGGAGGCTGATGTTGAATCGGAAAACGGGAATCTCTCTTTCAGCACTGTGACAGCTGCGATAAATGTCCCTGTGAAGCCGGAGACGAGTCGGAGCACTGCGACGATTGCAAGGTGAGATGAGCTCTGTTTTGGTTTAAAAACTCTCACCTCACAAATGTGAGGAAGCCTTTTCCTGGAACGGCTGAGATTTGTGAGAAGGGTATCGTAATACCACAAAATATTCATATCCCCATTGAAAAATGGGGACCAAGCTTTTAGTTTTCTATAGCAATATTTTGGGGAAAAAATAGATTAGATGGCAATGAAAGGAGATGTGTTGTGGAAATTGCAGTGAACATGTTGTACAGTATCATAATATTCCTTTTTCTCCCTTTGTTTTGTAGATGTGCAGTTTCTGCCATGTGTGTACTCTTTGTGAAACGGTTTGTAAACCCGGTGAGTGAATATTTATTTATTTATTTATTTATTTATTTATTTATTTATTTATTTATTTATTTATTTATTTATTTATTTATTTATTTATGTATTTATTTATGTATTTATGTATTTATGTATTTATTTATTTATTTTATTTATTTATTTATTATTTATTTGTTTATTTATTTATTTATTTGTCTGTCTATTTGTTTCTTTGTTTGTTATTCTTATTCAATTTTATTAGTTTTAAATGTATTTATTCTATTTTTTTATTTATTTTTTTATTTGTTTCTTTTACAAAAAAGAGTTTCTCTGTTGCAGGAAATACCATTATTAAAGAGAAAAAAACCTGTCTCATAGTTCTTAAATAATGAGATGGCCTGAGCTATTCTTAATTCCGAAAGCATGTCAGAACAACTTGACACAAAGTTTTTTTTCCACACTCAGACTGGACCAAATATGCAACTAAGTATCTTAAAATCTTGCAGTAAAGAGAAGTAAGGTGTGCTTTTACAAGTTGCTGTATGTTGGAAGTCATTGGTTCCCCCTTTCTGTGACCCATTAATGAAACTCAACTTTGCTCAAACTGCTTGTTTTTTGTTATCCAGGAGGATTTGTTGATGAAGTGACAGGCTCAATCTACAAGTAAGTCTTATTTACACTATAGAAATGTTGTAAAAGCATTTGTTAGCGTATAACCGCTGTCTGTAAACTTCTTGTCTCTTTGCCCACAGAACCGTAGCCGATGTCTTTGACGATAACGATGAAGCTAACTGAATCAGGACATTTGTTGCCACCATGTGGCCAACACAACACACCTCACCTTCTGATTTACTGATCCAACCTATTTGCCAAAACAATGACTTCACAGAAAATTATCAAAGCAAACTTTAATATATTCATGTACTGTTGTTAACTGACAAGTTGTACTTTTAAGGAAAAAAGGTATTAAAGTTTTTCTCAATTCTATCAAATAAAAAGTGATTTTTTTTTCAGGGCTCAGTGTTAGTTTTTAAATATTTTACTGTAGAGCGTTGGTGAGATTCCACTTCAAGCCAACAATCAGGTTGAAGTCTGAAAAGCAGCATATATATATTTCAGTTACATGCCTAAATCCCAAATGACAAATCTAACGGCTTCAACAAAAGTCGAAAGATATTGTCTTCTTCACAGTTGAGGACTGTACTTTTTGACATTTTCACTCTTTTTCAAAGGGATTCGATATTGTCTCTCAGCCTTTAAACAATTTATTGATATGTGTACAGTCTTTGTTTACAGATTTCTTTATAATCTTGTGTACTACATTATTTGAGGCTTCAAAAAGTCCAAAAATTCTGCAAGTCATAGAGTTCCATGTAATTTACCTCCACGTAATTAAGGACCATTGCATTCTGGCTTTGCCAAGGGAGGGTTTATGGATGAAAACACCCCCTCAATTATCCAATACTCGTTTTTTAAAAGTATTTTTCCTAAAAAAAATTGCATGTATTAAATAATGCCAAAGAGGGAAAAAGGGAGAGCGACAGAAAAAGAAAAAGAAACCACCCCGGAAAGGAGAAAGATCCTTATAGATAAACACAGAGAGAAGTAGAAGAAAACAAACAAGAAAGACCACAAAACCCTACAAAAAGCTGCTATAACAGTAGAAGGAAGAACACAAGCAGCTTCAACACTGGTAGCAAGGACATACAACAATCATCTCATCTACCTGCCACTTTACAGGATATTAAAGAAGTATGTGTCTCGGTAAATTACTGCGTTTGTGTGTATGCGTAAACATAAAAAAAAACCTCAGGTTTGACGCAGATTGTGCAAAGTTGTATTCATGCAAAGCGGACACGAGCTGCCACCCATCCGCCAGCGTCCCAGACCCAGTCCACCAGCAGCCGTCCTGGAGGAGGAAACACAGAGTTAACCCCGCATCGGCCCAGATAACCACAGTGGATAGCACATGGTTCATTTTGGTTAGTATCATCATTGAAATGGTAGAAACTCTCTCTAGAAGTGACTTTCAATGTGTTAATCATCCTCATCTGCCTTTAAAAGCAGAACATGATTTAGTGACATTAGCTCTGGGACCCTGGAGGGAATGTTTACGCCTCAACATCAGGTATCAAGTATTTTATGGAAACTACAGTCAATTGACAGAGCTTTGGCCTTAAACCAGTGAACAAAGTAGTCAGAATGTGCTGAAAATGTATTTAGCAACGTGATCATGCGTCCAACAGATACCTGTGAATTTTGGAGGAAATGTGATGCATCCACATTCTAAATCAATGGTCAGATGATCATGAGTCTACATGTAACCGATAAACTATTGGAATTTATCCATTACAAGTGTGGTTGAGCAACGCCAGCCTTTATTTACCTAACTTGGTCTGAAATGTCTCTTAATCAGTTCAGCACAGAGCTCATTCAGTTCCCGCATGGACGGAGCCGCCATGTTTGAACCAGCAAAAAACAGATAAAATACCAAAAGCATGGATTTAACAGGACCAGTATCAGTCCTGCCCACTAAGTTTGATACCTGCGTTTGACAGCGTAAATTATTTCATGACAACAAGGCTTACACAGGAGGAATGAAATGAATAAATAAATATAGATAGATATACATTTGTAAATAAAAGTTATCTTTGGTTGGACATTTTACTATATAAATTCAATACATGAAAAATAGATTTAAATATTTCATGGGACATTTGATTATATAATTGCATATTTTATAACTTCAATTTCAATTTTATTCAATTCAATTTTATTTATATAGCGCCACATCACAACAACAGTTGTCTCACAACTTCATGTATTTAATCATTTATTTATACATGTATTGTTATTTATAATGAATGAATTAATAAATGTGATTATTCAAATATGTTTTTACGAGTTATATGATACATTCAGTTCATTACTAGAAAATGTACAGGTATTTATTTCAATATATTTATATTTATTTATTCAATTGTGTCACTCTCAGCCTTCCATACACAATGATTTAGACAAACTCTTTGAACCCTGAAGAATCGTTACATCCAGAAAGCACATTCCACCTGCAAAGCATGCTGTCATTGTCAAACTGTCGGTTTTTTATCACTGTATCTCTTTCTCTGTTTCACACACACACACACACACACAGACACACACAGACACACACACACACGCACAACAGACGCATATAAACACACGGACACATAAACACACGCATACACAGAACTAAACTGTTAAGACATAATTACCTCAGTATTTTTAATTTTTCATTCAGATTATGAAAGTGGGTTCACCACTCCGGAGAGACGCGTTTTTAGTCTCGCTGCTTCCGTTGGCGGCGCTGTAAGTCTTTTATTTTGTTAATCTCTGATTTGCTCGAGCGGAAGAAGAGAAGCCAAACTTCCGTTTTGGTTTTACAATCAGGTTATAAAACAACAGCAGTGTACCAAAGACCCTTCTAACCGCCAGGACTTGAACTGGACTTGGGTACTGGCCGATGGAGTTGAACAAGTTGTGCAGTCCGGACAGTTCTGATCCTTTTTGGGTGAGTTTTTCTTCTCTTGTTTTTGTGAGGCGACCTCCATTGCTCACCTTTATTTGAAATGCCGTAGCGGCCGTCACTAGCTAGTGGGCAGGAGTTGGTGCCGGTGAGATGCCGCTTCGTGTTCGCTGCCGGGGGGTTCTTAGAGACCGAGAGACTGAAACAAAATGTGAAAAATGCAACGCCTGGTTCTACGAAGCTGCCTGACTCGACACAGCACAGTCGTACATCAGAGTTGACAGTTTGTTCCACTGGAAATGGACTAAGCGCGGTAAAAGCTGATACCTGTAACTCCATGGCGTTAGCAACATTACATAAAAAGCACCTGAGCCGGTTCAGGATTTTTGTCTCTATTGCGCTATTTGTATTCATTTATAGGATATAATATTAGATAAGATTTTTAAAATAAATTTCATTATAATGTATCATTTATTATAGTTTATATTTGTATTATATTTTAAAAAATATAATATATATATATTTATTTGTGTTTGTATAAATGTATATTTACTTATTATATATAATTATATATATATATATATATAAAATAATGAATGAATAATTAATATATCATTAACTACTTGTTCATGATTTCTCCCTGGAGATCAATAAAGTATAAAGTATAAAGTATATTCAATTCAATGTATGTATGTGTTTGCGTCTGTCAGGATTGGAATCGTACATGGCACACTGCTAATCCAGACCTCACCCACTGTTTCCAAAACACTGTTTTGGTGTGGTTACCCTGCCTCTACCTCTGGATCTGTGCTCCCGTCTACCTCATCTACCTATGCAGCCACAACCGGGGCTACATATGTATGAATCACCTCAACAAAGCCAAAACTGTGAGTGAAACCACGATTCG